AGGACAGACAAATCTGTGCTCACTCCTGATCGTGTTCCACTGTGGCTGTATACAAAGCTGTTCTGGCACAGCAGGTATGCAGCTGCTCTAGGAAAATGCTGTTCCCAAGCTAATGATCACTGCTAGGAAGTGATTGTAAATTGTAATTGGGGTGAGGTAAAAATGTACTGTAGTCATTTACCATAGCTCAGCCGATGAGCAGTAACTCACTGCGTCCTGGTAATTCAGAAGCTTTCAGTCTTTATTGAGCAATAACTCCCTCAGACTGTGGCTTCTGAAAATACTGTCCTCTGTCTTTCAGCTTTTAAATTTCATACCGAAAATCACAACTCCACTTACTATCACTTATTCCATACAGTTATTTACTTTTATTTTAGAATTACATGTCCTATTTTTTACTATTATAAATATAATGTATCATGCATATGTTCTATAAAATGAAGGCTTACGAATGCTCACCAAGTACAAGGAAAACTGAACACTTAATTAATACTGTTTTTAACTTCTAATGCCTTCTTTGTAATTGTCTAGAAAACTTTTCTCCTTGCAACCTGTCAGTTACATCATCTCACCTGCAGAAGTTACCAGATTCTTGTAGGCATAATTAACCTTACTTACATGCCCAAGAAAGTTGTTTAATATTCAAAGACCACCTTCACCAAGCTCAGGAGCAATGCATCCTTACAAAGAGGAGGGCAGGCAGAAAAGCCAGGAGGCCTGCATGGATGAACAACGAGCTCCCAGACATGACCAAAAGAAAAAAGGAGGCCTATAGGGAGTGGAAACAGGGGCAGGTGGCCTGGGAGGAATACAGAGAAATCGTTCAAACAGCCAGGGACCAAGTCAGACAAGCTAAAGCCCAGATAGAACTAAATCTGGCCAGGGACATTAAGACAAAAAAAAATAATCCTTCTTTAAGTATGTCAGGGAGAAAAGAAAGACTAGGGAGAATGTGAGCCCTCTCAGGAAGGAAATGCAAGAACTGGTTACCCAGGACAGAGACAGAGATGAGGTCCTCAACGACTTTTTTGCCTCAGTCTTCACTGGCAAGGACTGCAGCCATACTGCCCACGATGCAGAATGCAAAGGCGAGGATTGGGAAAATGAAGAACCTCCCACTGTAGGTGAAGATCAAGTGTGAAACCACCTGAGGAACCTGAAGGTGCACAAGTCCATGGGACTTGATGAGATACATCCGCGGGTCCTGAGGGAACTGGCAGATGAAGTCGCTAAGCCACTAGCCATCATATTTGAGAAGTTGTGGCAGTCTGGCGAGGTTCCTGCCAACTGGAAAAGGGGAAACATAACCCCTATTTTCAAAGAGGGAAAGAAGGAAGACCCGGGGACTACAGGCCAGTCAGTCTCACCTCTGTGCCTGGCAAGATCATGGAGCAGATCCTCCTGGAAACTCTGCTGAGGCTCACAGATAACAAAGAGGTGATTGGTGGCAGCCAGCATGGCTTCACCAAGGACAAATCAAGCCTGACAAATTTCG